TACAATCATCATTTTCTGGAAACATGTATTATGAAGTCATGAAAATGTTTCATCAAACCTTATTCTTGAGGTTTATAATTCTATATTTCAAATTAGAAGAGCTGTACATACATACGCATTTTAATTTATGATACGAAAATAATATATTTTCCATATGTTTTTTAATTAACCCAGCACCATTAGTTTAATATCTACTCTTCCTGTGAGTGAACTGTGGCAAATCCACCATCATAATTCAGATATTATCCACCTGTGCCTCAGTTTCTACTGACATACCCCTTGTGCCATTTCATTGTTTGCATCTCCCTGTCTTAAAACCATTGTCTTCATCAGGGTAAGGTGCATTAATTACCTCATGATGTAATGATTTATTTCTGCTCCTGCTTGTTTCTAGTTTTGAATATTCGTTACTTCTTCAAATGCACTTTAGAACATGCCTGATGGTCTCACGTGAAGAATAAACCTGATAGTCCCTCTAGCCTCCAAGGCAAAACAAAAACAATAACAACAACAAACCAACAACCTGTTGTGATCTCTTTGGGAGAAGTTAATGCTCCCCAGGTCAGTTTGAGGATAATTCTAGCTCTGGATATTCCATTTCATGAAGAAATTGTCTCATTTTTTCAGTCTTTAATTTCTACTAATTTTCATTACCTTATACATATTTTCTTACACATTTTCTAAGTACTTGAAGATTTTGATACTCCTGCAAGTTGTAATGCATTGAGTATATGTAATCTCTTAATTTTATAACTGTATTGGGTAAAATTCATAAACTAATTTACTTTATAATATATATTAGCATGTATAACTGTAAGCGTTACAATCGAGATATAGAATATTTCTATTGTATCAACAACTTTTCTCAGCAGTTTTATGGTTAAGTTCTCTCACTATAATCTGCAAGATGTCACTTATTCAGTTTTGGCCATTCTAGAATGGCTGTACATCTTCTAGAATCCCATATAAATAGAATATTATGGTATATATATATATATATATATATATATATATATATATATATAGTTAGGTCCATGGCTTCTACAAAATGTGTTTTATATCAGTCTATGTCACGACATGCAACAGTAGTTTATTTCGTCCTGATTATTCACACCCAATATTTAAGCTCTTACCATTTGCTATAACATCCATAAACACAAAAGCCATCATATTAAGGGAAATATGCCATATATGGAAAGAAAGATATTTCATTATCTTTTTAAATATGGAACCTAAAAATACATAGATATACATAGATATGCATATGCAGATGGATGATAGATAGTAAACAAATTAATGGTTATGAAGAGCAGGGACTTTAGGGGGAAAATGGGTAAACAAAGACAAGAGAATGTAAGTTGTAGATATGTAGTATGACCAAATTTGAAAATCTAATGTGCAGCATGAGGACAGAAGGTAACAGAATAATGTATTTGGGACTTGTGACTGGAGTTAGTTGAATGGATTTAGTATTTCTTGCCCTAAGAACAAATAACCAAAAATGTAATTAAGTGAGTTGATGGGTATGTTGATTCACTTCACTGCGGTAAATTATATACACCCCATAATATTCTGTTCATTAACTGTATACAACATTACTTACTTAAATAACTCTATTTATTTTATTGAAAGATACTTGCCACCTGTTTGGCTATATCACCATTTTTGTTCATTTGTTGACCCATTAAAAAACAGTTGAGCTTTTTCCAGGTTTTATTATAGTAAATAAAGCCTTTAATAACATTTATGTCTAAGTCTCTGAGTACACAATTTTAATTGTTTCTGTGTTATATTGAAATTTACGTATAGAACTGGCAATATACATTTTAATTTACTCAAGGAAAAACATGAAGTTTCCAAAATTAATAGCATGATCGTATACCATGTCCAGTACTGAGTACAATTTCCAGTTACTGTGCATGTTTTTCAACACTGGACAGTAATCTTTTTAGTACTTATTGTGACTCTAACTTTACTTCTTTCCAGTTACTAATGCTTGTATGCTTAAAATAGCAAGAAACACCCAGGGATGAGGAAGGTATAAAGCAAACTAATAAATGTTTATGTATGCACACAAAAGTTGAGAACTACTCCTTTCTTTCTTTTCAAATGTTATAACACTTTCTTATAATAATCATGATGACTACTAATACTATGGCAGAATTTGTTGTATGATGAAAATGTCTTCCAGTGTATATTTTCTTCATTGTTATATCATGGGTAACTACAAACTTTACTGACACACAATATTCTGTAGTTATTTGAATAGATTAAAGATTGATTCAGTACAAAGAATGATTTTATATCTCAACAAACTGAGACAACAACTTTGTTAGGCAAAAACGATAGAGCTATATGTGAATTACTTAAAAAGGAAAATAATGTTAAATAACTCATAAAACTACAACACACTTTAATGAACAAAGAAACAAATTTGATAAGTAAGTCTCAATAAAAATAGCATAATTATTAAAATAAACTTTTGTTAATTATTTATAAATCTGAATGGATGGCAATTAAAAAAAAAAAGAATAACCAAATCAGATTTGGCCATAACACTGTTGTGAATGCAAAACAGAGGAAAGATATATTAAGAATCTAAGAAGGTAAAAAAAAAAAAAAAAAAAAAAAAAAAAACATGGAAACACCTAAATGGATCTAAATGGATGAGTGATGAAGAGGATGAGGAAAAGGAAACACAGAAACAGAGAAATTTGGGAGAGGTTGTATTTAAATGTACAATAATATAGTAACTGCTAAATATGCCAAGAACATAGAAAATTGTAAATAATTGAATAAATTTTTTATAATTATTAGTATAAAAAGTATAAACTTAGGTAACAATATATAACACAGACATTGTGAAGAACAAATGCACTTTGTAAGAAAAATTTTAAATATCAAAACTACAAAATCAGTAAATAATAGAATAAATTTATCCAGCAAAACAAACAAACAAAACCAAGCTGATTTACGAGTAGGAAACAAAACACATTTTAAAATCCAAATATCATTAAAAAGAAGAAAAAGGCCAAATATTGAATATATAGCAATTCCTTAATATATAAACACATGTGTAATAAAAATATTCAAAAAATGAATAAAAAAAAGATAAAGTAGAAACAAATCTTTGTAAATAGGGAGAGGCGAAAAGGGTTGAAGGTAGGAGAGGGTTTGGGAAAAGAAAGAGGACTAAAATAATACCATGTATGGGTACAAATTCCTAATGATGAATATGACTATTGTGTACATTGAAATGTACAAGCTAAATTAATTTCAAAAGTAAAATAAAAACATTCAAAATATAAAATTTCATGAATAAATCCAATGTGACCACATATATCTTAGAAACTGATAGGTTTCTAAGCCAATAAAAATAACAAAAATCTTTACCTGTATTTTAACATTATTCTGTATTTTAACAATATTGTTCCTGTATCTGTATTTTAACATTATTGTTCCTGTATATAAATACAAATATTTCCATTTCTGTCCAGAACATATTAAACATTTATAAAATTTGAGTAAATAAATGCCACAGAACTAATGAAATATTACACAGGTTATGGGATTAATTATATATCACACAAATTTTAAAAAACACACAAAAATTATCTCATGATTTAAATTAGAAATTGAAAACTCATGTGCAGTATTTCGAGTGTCAAAGAGGAAATAGTGAAGAAAACTTGTTCAAAATGGAAATTAATTTTGTAAAATGAAATGCTGATAAAGCTGTAAGTGAATATTTATGTATACAGACCTTTACAAAGAAAAAATGCTAAAAATTCTTTCAGTAAAAAGTCACTTTAATTTAGAAAAATAAGGAAATACTTCAAGCCAGAGTGCATGAAAGAATAATAAAGAGAACAAAATGTATAATGGGAGAAATATAATAAAGAACAAAGTCCAAAGTGGTTCTTTGGGAAGATTAATTTTAAGAACTGTAGAATGTTTGAATTATTTTTCTGGTTAGAAGATGAGATGATATAAATAGTTTTGGTAATAAATATGAAAGAAGTAAAATTGAGGAGCCTCCAAGATCTAAGCTGTGTTCAGAGGAAGGCCTGGGGTGGGAGGTGAAAGTAATGGGACATAAAATTTAAATTTTGAATGCGGTAAGTTGAAATGTGTATTCTTTAAGTGGAGTAGACAATTGGATGTTGCAAGACATGGAATAAAAGCAAGGAGCAGAAGTTCCCGTGCTTCTTAGGAAGGGTGGAATTTCTCAAAGAGAGAGATCTGTGCCAGAATGGGTTTGAAATTGAGAAAAAAATAGAGTAGAGAAAGAGAAATGATGAGCATTATTGAAGCAACCAGGAGCAAGACCTTCAGAGAGAGCAGCTAGAGCTTCAGACATGTGATTAGGTTATTCTCACTTAGGAACTTTAGCACAAGTACAAAAGTGTCATCATTGTCACTAGGATCTTCACAATCAAATCCAGTATCAAGTTTTTGAGTCATTTTCATGACTCTCTGGCTACATCAGTCTTAATTCTGCTCACTCATCTCTGCTCTCCATCTTAATTCTGCTCTCCATCTCTCTCTGTCTCTGTCTGTCAATCTGTCTGTCCCTCTTCTCTCTCTCTCGTTCTCCCTCTTTCCCCTCTCTCCCTCTCTCTCTTCCTTTCCTCCCTCCCTCTCTCCACGGAGAAATGGAATGGAGAGTATTGGAAGATTAGATTGAAGATCCAGTTTAAGTTGCATTATAGGAAAGATGGGAAGTGATTAAATATTTCCTATGCTTTCAGTTATAATTGGGAAAGATTAAAACACAATTTCTGGGAAATCAGAGAATCTATTTTATATCATTGCAACATCTCATTGCTGGCCTTAAAAACCCAACTCCTAGCAGAAAAAAAATCAACATTAAATATCATTAAGAGTCACATCAAATTAAATAATCAGTGGCATTGTCTTTATAATCCTGGGTCCAATGCCCATATCTTTGGGTCTAAATGAATATCTCTGCAAGTTTTAAGGAATGAGGCAAGGCTTACCTTGAGCATTCACACAGAGGAGGAGAGAAGTGAGTCCCTGGAGAAAGCAAAGTCCATGCATGGTCATGGCTACTCTGGTTGTTATGCCTGCTGATTGCAGCCCCAGCTTCTTCAGACCATACAGAGAGCACGCTCGGGTGCTTAATGCAGCTCTCACAATTAGGAAGGAGGGTACATAGCTCTATTTTCTGACAAGGCCACCTCCTAGGAGCCAATAGAAACCCTGCTTAACGTCTTCCCTATCATCAGAGACTGTATCAAGAGGAAATATTTTATACTTCAAATAGCTCAATCTTAAATATCTCCTTTACTGAGATAAAAATTTCTAACATCAGGTGTCTTTCTGCTTCTTAGCCTGACACAGACAGCAATATAAACATATATGTGGCTTTTTGTGTCTTTCACAGGTGTCAGGCTCAATGGCTGGCTCAACCCAGCTTTAGAATTGGTTAGGGACACTGCATTGTGCACCAATGAAACATTTTGTTTCCTCAAACTTTAAACTTAAACTTTACTTTTGTTTAAAGAGTCCTAGGACTGCAAGGTGATAGAGCCAGTATGTTGTGGTGCAAAAATTATAAAATGTACCTAATAATAAAAGCAAAAAAAAAAAAAAAAAACCCTGGTGAGTTATAAATTGAAAATAGAAGTGTGAAAACTCTAATGGTGATTGTAAAAGGATGAGTAGTGTATCAACACTTGGAAATGTTGATGCTATAATTGAGCTGCCTTCTGCTTGCTTTTCTGGCACATAAATAAAGACTTCTAGTGATTGACAGCTCTCCTGAAAAATGTCTGAATTTATAGTCTCTTTCTTCTCTTTTTCTCATACATATATAGAGAAGCTTTTGCTCCTAAGGCTATCAGTACCCACAGAGATACTATGCCGGGTCTTTGATTGTGCTCCCTAGAGACGTACAGGACACCAAGAACCTAAAAGCTGACCCAGTATTATCACATGCAGTCTGTCCTGATTCCAGTCCTCACAGGCTGCAGAGTGGGATCCACTTACCTTTTTTTTTTTTTTTTTTTTTTTTTTTTTTTAATTTTAAAGAGGGTAATACAAAGCATAACAAAAGAGAACAAAGCAGATCAGAATGCTGTGCAAGTGACACAGGATTTCAAAGCAAGACAACAGGAGAGCAACAGTGGCTACCATAATTTTTCTTGTTTTCTTTGAAATGTGCACCCATGTTTATAGCAGCACAATTTGTAATCGCCAGATCTTGGAAACAACCTAAGTGTCCATCGACTGAAGAATGGATAAAAAAGTTGTGGTATTTTTATACAATGCAGTACTGCTCAGCTATAAAGAATGGTCATCTAATCTTCACACTCAATAAATTTAAACAAAACAAAATAGTAAAAACTGATACCTACAGAAGAATGAATACATGACAGGTTTTCAAACCAGAGAGTAGGAAAATCAACAATGACTACCATAGTGTCTTTTGTTCTCTTCAAAATAGCCAACTATACTTTCATATATATTGAAATTAAATAATACAAAATAGACCAAAATGACTCTAAAAAGGATAAAAACATTACTGGACTTCATAGCATAACGATAGAATATCAACAATGGCTACCATAATGTCTTTTTTTTCCAGAGTAGCTATTCATATTATCGACATTAAAACAATTAATTCTCATAAACTGTTTAGAAGAAGTTTTAGACATGTATAAGCCTCTACATGTACATCTAGGTTTTCTGTATTAGAAGGAAAAACAGAGCAAGGAAAAACAAATTACTAAAAAAAAACAAAAAACAAAAGAGACAAATATTTTGACTCATCCTTTTTAACCTTATTTTCTGTGCCTTTTCTTTTTTACTTCATTTCTACAGAAACCAGTTAGTCAATTTTTCCATTTTTCTGGATTCTACTCATTATGTAAATAAGATGACTGTCAGCACAGTGACTAGAAAATCAGTCCACATCAACCACATATCTCACTGTCAATAGTGTAACAAATCAGATACTCCAGAATTTTATCTCTTTAAATGTTTGCTATTTGTTGTAAATGAACCAAGCTTCAGGATTAATCCCAACCTATAGATTGCAAAGATGAACAAAGATAAATTATATATCTTTGTACATACATGTGAAATGATAGGTATATAATTAATTTTAGTATCATAATAAACAAATATATATTTTTCCTATAAATAACAGTTAGGTCTAGGTTGTTAACAGTGTTAAGGATATTCTCCCTACACAGTGAAGTGCCATTTACTGAACAGGGAAGTTAAAAAGACATCTATGACTGTGATTTTGTTTCTCCCTTTAATTTTATGAGTGTGACCTCAAGAATTATGAGCCTCTACTATTATTGGCATAACTATAAATGTCCATATTTCATATTTATATCTGAAGGAAAAGCATACTGTTTAATTTTAATGATCACTTTATGTTACAATGATGTACAGCTAGCTGCAGAAATAGGAATGTCCCATGTGCCCCTCCTCTAGCTTCACACAATGGTGACACCTTCCAAACACTAGCACACTATCATTACCAGGAAATCATCTTTCTCTCCAGCAATAAATGAGAAATCTGAGTTCTTGCTATTTTGTTTTCTTTTTAGGAGTTGGAATTTTTTCTTTACTGATGCCTCACAGTGATGTTGCATTATGGTTGATATTACTTTCATAATTTTCTTTACTATTAGCTTGTGATACATGTTGATTACCTTTAGCTAGGTTTCATACACACACACACACACACACACACACACACACACACACATATAAATATATATAGTACATGTTGATCAATATTTTTCTCCTTGACCATCTAATACCCTTTTTTCTACCTCATTCTAAGGTCTCCTTCCCATTCATAGAGCTTATTTCCCTTTTCTTAAGACAGCTTTTAATTTTGCTTTTTAGATTGTTTCTGTTGTGAGACATATTACATATACAAGGTAATAATTAACATTTGCTAATGGACTTCTTTCACTCCATATTCCAGTTGCAAATTCTACCAATTTTCTTGTAAATGGTATAAGTTTAGCTTTCTTTATATTTAATAATACAGCATATTTTCTTAATCCATTCATCTGTTCATAAACATATAGGTAACTTTCTAGATTTAGCTATTGTAAATTATGCTGACATAAACATGGGCATATGTGTGTGTAGCACCATGAATTTAACTCTTCTGGGATGATACCCAAGAGAAGTATACTTGTGTATGAGATTTCCATTTTTAGTTTCTTGAGAAATCTTCATATTGATTTTCAAACTAGTTATGCACACAATGCAAGAGCTTTGTTTTTCTCCACATCCTCACAAAAATTTGTTGTTTTTAAGTCCTTGATCATGGTTGCTGTCAATATCATAAGATAGAATCTCAGTTTTTTTTTTTTTTTTTTTTTTTTGGTTTACTTTTCTCTAAGACAAAGGTTGCTGAACATTTATGTACAGATTAGCCATTTTATTTCTTCTGTAAATTATCTATTTTTACCAAATGTATATTTTTAGATTGAATCTTTTTTTTTTCAGTGTCTAGTTTCCTTTTTAGTTCTTTATGTGTTCTCTATATTTGTCTTTGTCTAACAGATAGAGGGTGAAAATCTTCTACTATTCTCTAAGCAGCCTTGTCACTCTTTAAATTGTTTTTTTTTTACTGTGCAGAAATTTTCTAATTTAATATAATTTTCTATACTGATTATTGATACTATTTATTGTGCTATTCATCTCCTGTTAAGGAACACTTTGTTTATGCTTATGTCTTCATTTCATTAGTTTTACCAGTATTTACTAGTAGATGAATTTTTTTTTCTCTCAATATCTATCTATATCTATAATCATACCTTATGTTGATATTTGTATGCCATTCATCCATTTCAACAGGATCTTAGGGCAGGGGGGAGATATGGGTGAAGACTCATCCTTCTCTATGTGGATAACCAGTTTTCTTAGCACCATTTTTTTTGTCTTTTCTAAAATTTGTCTTTTCTAAAATGTATAGTATTGGCCTCGCTTGTTAAATGTCAGATAACTGAAGGTGCATGGTACTGTTTTTGGGGTCCCCTATTCTATTTTGTTTTCAGTATGCTTTCTTTTTGACAATACCATACTGTTTTTACTGCAGTTGCTCTATAGTATAATTTGCATCCTGGGATGGTAAAACTTCTGGCCTTGCTCTTGTTTCCCAGTATTGCTTTGCCTATTCTGGGTCACTGCTGTTTCCATACAAATTTAACAAAAATGTTTTCCAAATTCTGTGTATAAAGCTCAAGGATTTCATTTGATTTGGATTTCATTAAACCTATGTATCTTTTTCTGAAATATGGTTATTTTGAAGATGAGAATTCTGCCTATTCAAAAGCAAAAGATTTATTTTATTTTCCAATTTCCTCTTCAATCTTTTACTTCAGAGCAATGCATTTTTCACTATAGAAATCATTCATTTCCTTGTTTACCATAATTCCATATATTTCTGTTTTTGAGGATATGATGAAGGTTGTTCTCCCAATTTCTTTTTCAGATAGTTCTTTCTCAGAGAGTTCATTTTGGTGTGGAGAAATACTACTAATATTTGTGTACTTATTTTGTATCTTATCATTTTGTGAATTTGATAATAGTTACAAACATCTCTGGTAGAATTATTTGGATCTTTTATAGGAATAGTTATATCATTTTCAAGAATGAATATATTGTCTCTTTCCTTTTCTATTCAAATCTATTTTGTTTTCTCTGGTTTAATTACTGTGTCTAAAGTTTACAAAATATAATATCAAACAGGAGTGTTGCCAGTAAATACCTTTGACTTGTTCTTGATTTTAGTGGAAATACATTCAGTTTTTCTCCATTTAATATGATGTTGTCAGAGGCTTTGTAATAAATGAGTTTTATGCCTTTAAGGTATTGTCTTGCTATATCAATTTTATCAAGACTTTGATCACGAGTGACTATAGGACTTTGTGAAAGTTTTTTTTTTTTTTTTTTTTTTTTGCTGCATCTATTGAGATGACAATGTGATGGCTATTGTTACATCTGTTTTTGTGGGATAGTACATTCATTGATGTGACTGTGTTGAACTATCATTGAAACCCTGGGATGAAACCAGCTTGTTAATGGTGTATGGTATTTTTAATGATTTGTACCTTCATGATGTTTGTGTTGCTGTGCATTACAAATGGCTAGACACAGGGTGTGTCCTTTTGGATATCATTTCCTTTCATTTTTAAATACATTGATACAGGTCTTTTTTGGGTTGAGTTTGGCTAAGATTATGTTAATCAATTTAAAGAACTGACTCTTTAGTTCCCTTTTTTGGTAATTTTTAGCCTAAGTTTCTTTAAAATTGGCCCTGATATTTAGGATCTCCTTCCCGTACCACATTTGGATTTGTATTTTTCTTGTTTTTCTATGACTTTGAGAAATATAAATGCTCTATATTTATTTGGGATTCCTGTTTTTTTTTTTTTTTTAATGTGCACATTTACACACACAAATTTTTCCTCAGGACTGTTTATATTGCTTTCCATAAGATATGGTATGCTGCACAGTCATTATAAGTTGATGCCTGGAACCTTTTAATTACATCCATGATTTATATCATATCTCCAAATATTTACATAATTTCTATGGTATCTTTTCCTGTGATTTCTAGCTTATTTTGTGAAAGAGCTGGTAACATGATTCTTCTGTATTTTTCAAAGGATGCTTTGTTGCCTAGTATGTGGTCTTTTTGGAGAAAGTTCCCTCTTCTGTCATGAAAAATATGTTTCATCTTTGTTGATTGGAAACCTCTAGAGGTGTCTATTAAGATCCTTTGTTTAAAGGTCTGATTCAATTCTAATATTTCTTCATTGATTATTTAGTTGATCTGTGTACTTGTGACAAAGTGGTATTCAAGTCCTTAACTATGATATTTTTATGTTTACCTGGTTTTTAATGTCCTGCTGTCTTTATTTTATTAAGTGGGATATTATTATTTTCCTAGCTACTTTTCTTGTATTTCAGACAAAATACCCAGCACCCCAAATTAAGGAAGGAAAAGTTCATTTAGCTCACTATTTGTAGGGGTTTTGGTCCATAATCGTCTAGCTTCAAGCAGAGTTCCAAAAGGTAGAGGGGCAAAGTTCATGGCTACAGAAAACAACAAAAGCAACAGGAGAGAGGAGAGAAGCCTCCCTTATAGTTACCAGTCTATTGGAATTAGGACATTACACTATAATGTCATTTTTTTTTCTGAATGTTCAACAACTGAGGTTTGGTAACCAAAAATTAGAGTGATAAATAGGCTAAGAGGATAGCCCATATTTTGGCCCTAGAACTCCAAGGTCTATGAGGACCAAGGGCATAAGGGAACCGCTGTTGCATCAAGCTATACTGAGCAAGTCCCTTGTATTCTGATCAAGAAATTGTGAGGCCACAGAGGAAAGAGAGCATTAGTGTGTAGTCTGCCTAAGAGGAGCCACCAGTAGGAAAAGGTCTCCCAATCTTGCACAGAAAGCAACTTGTTCAAGCAATGGCTCTGACTCATCCAGACGGCTGACACTGACAGAAGAGCTAAGAGGTGTTGTGCATGGTTTTCAGGGTATTTATGAGGAAACTTAACTGTCCTTGATAGATAGCAAGAGACTGATTGAAATTAAAACAGTTCTCACCTTAAATTGGTCTTGAATATACAACTATAAGAGGTTAAACAATGCCACAGTAAATGTGAGCTATAAAAGAAATTCAAATCACTGACACCTAAGAATTGCTGGTTATAGTGGAAACTAGCTATTAATAGACTGTACAAAGTTTCAATTTCTAAATGTGGAATTTAAAATATTTGGACTGGAAATCTTTAGCCTACCTGAGAGTTCACTCAAAACATAAATAAAACAATCCTTAACAGAGTTTTCCAAACACAGCTCCTCAAGCTTCAACTGACCTCTTGTTACATGTAAATAAAAACAGGAAAGAGGGATTTGTAGGAAGCCACTGAAGCTGGCAATGATCACACATGCAGGGCTGGGCACTATGGGTTGGAAAAAAAGATCATCCAGGGCAAGCCACATTCACCATCTGCTACAGCCCAGAAAACAAACTCCTAGACAATCCAAGCAGTGGGTTGCTAGGCAAAAGGGTGTCACATGATATTATCTTGCTAAATGTATAAACACCATTATGGTGGTGGCTCAGTTCTTTTCCTCTCATTCTGAGAGATGGTCCCACCTGATCCCCATTTTCTGTGTCTCTTCTTTATTTCTTCATCTTCTCACCACCCTTCACAGTCCTCCTCACCCAGGAACCTTAAGAGCCGTGTGGGTTGCAGCACTTTCTCAACACTACTTGCTGGCTTTCAGTTTCTTCAGTGTCCTGATCTGTAAATACCTTTTTGGCTGTTATTTTTCACAGCGGTGATAGTGAGAAAATGAGCTTATTCCATAGGCTTGGTGCCACTGAGAGTCTTTCTGTCTCCCTCAGGCTCTAGCCCTTTTTCCAGGGTGGCCATGCTCATGGCTTGTCGAGTGTGAAAGGCTCTGCAGTCCAGGGGCAGTCCAGCTTCCATTTGTAAACCTTTCTGACACTGTATAAAATCTAGTGGGTTCCTCCTTCATCTGTCTTTTTGTATCTGGCTTTCTTTCTGCCCCTCATTTCCAAGTATCTGAGGTTTTCAGAGCACCTACTCATAGATTCCCTCTTCTAAAGCTGCCTTTAGTCATACTTGGTGGAAAACAAATACCACAATTTTAAATTGTATTTAATGGTTAATTCTAATAAACACTGATTTATAGGCTTACAGTTGACACTTGACTTACAAAATCAAACTTGTTCTAATTCAAGTTACTTGTAAGTCAAGACTATTTTTCCTGTAAGTTATAATGAAAAAACTTCCAATGTGTTCAAAATCTCCCAAAGCTCCCACAATAATATTTTCATGATAAAAAGGTTTATAAAAGTCCTAAAAGTCCTCAATTTACCAAAAACACCAATAACTTTCCTAAGGTTTCCTAAAGAATTATAAAATGTGCCTAGTTTACCAGAAACAACAATTTCATATCATAATCACTATTCAATTTGACATCTTTGACTTTGAAGAAGTGAGGATGAAATAGAAGATGGTTATTGTGTGAAAAGAGAGTCCATAGTCATAAGAACATTGGGAATCTGGCTCTTTAGAATCACTTTTGTCTTTGGGAGAATCTGTGGTCCACTAGGACCTGCTTCTAATTTAGTAGTTCTGAAACTTCTCAGAACTAAAATGGTCTAAAGTTGCATGTTTATGTCTTTTATTTAACACTGTTCTTTTCAATTGTAATAGCTTTATGTACCTTTTCTTCCTTCCTTAGCTTCTTTTCTAGCTTTTTTGAGGCAATATTGATAGCAATATCATAGTGATTATGTAAGGCATGGGCTGAGCAAGTTGACATTTATGTGTGCTTGCAAATGCTTTTCTGGCATCATGAGTCTTTGTTTCCAACTATACAAGCAGTTGGCGTTTGAGTCATAACTTAAGACTTTGGTCTTAAATTAAAACTAACATTCCAGTCATGAATCAGGTTATTTGCATGTGAAGCTGGTGATAAGTTGCCACCTGTCCACTCTGATGAGGAATCCCTTCACACCTTTTGATAATTTTCTGAATGGATTTTTTGTGTTTGCTGATAATTTTTCATAATTAAATCATATTGTATATATTGTTTCACAGCTACATTTTGCAGTGTTTTCCCTCGGTCTGCAGCTCATCTTTCCTTTGAAAAGCTATTAATCATGAGATAGTGCAATTCACCTACTTTGCTTTTGTGGTTTGTGATTTTGATTTCAGTTACAATTGCATGTTCCTTTGTAAAACTTATTCCCTTGGTTATATTTCAAAAGTTTTATGGTTTAATATTTTAATTAAACTCATCATCCATTTTGAGTTTATATTGTATAGGATTTAATTTTAAAGATTGTTTCTATTTTTGCTTTGTGATTATATTTAAAATTTTATATTAAATTTAAAATGATTATATATGTAAACACAGTAGATTGTTTTGATAAAAACCACATATCCTTAAACAACTAGTAAACATTTTGTTTTCAAGCTTCACTCCCTTAATAGCATACACAGAAATTTCTTTCAATTATGGCAGCACAGTATTGTTTATCACATACAAAGCACACTTTATCTATTATCTAGTTTATGTGCATTTAGTTTGCTTCCAGATTATTGTGAAAAGATCTGTATAAACACAAGTGTGCAAATTTTCTTAAGACCTCATGCTCAATACTTTTGAATACTAACCAGCAGAGTTTTCAAAGTCACTTGGTAGTGTTGTTTTGTTTTTGTTTGTTTTGTTTTGATTTTTGTACTAGGAATCAAATTCAGGATCTCATGGTTGCCAGGAAAATATTTTTGTTTTTCATATTTTGATAAATCACCATACATAGTGGTCATAATATTGAACTTGTATGCTGAGACTTTCCTGAAAATATTAGCTTCAAGTTTTATGTGTGTGTAGATTATTTTGGAATTCTTAATAAATCACCGTGGCAAATAAAAAAAGACAGAGAGTATCTTATTTATTTATTCATTACCTATATGAATTTTATTGCCCTTTTCCTGTTTTGTAATACTGAGTATCCTTTCAGTAACTACAGTGAATAAGTGAATAAAGAGTGCACACTGTTGCTTTCTTCCAGACTTGGACTTAAACATTTGGTTGGTCGATCATTGAGTATAAATATATCTGTGGATTTTTTGTGAAACATTTCATCAAGTCGAAAACGTTCCCTAATTATTAGCTTGTTGGGAGATCATGAATAGGTGTTGAATTTTGTCAGACTGTCTTCTGCTTCCTACTGTTTGTTGCTTTACCGTCTTTTTATAATTTTGGGAGCAGTGGAATCATGATTTCATCAAAGTAACTGAAGGTTGTGCATACTTAATTTTTGGCTTAAGGATGTGTAATACTGTGAATTCCTCAAGTTATTGTGCAGTCACTCATTATGTTAGCTTGTGACTATATCATCCTTTTTTGAAAGGTGGTTGATTACAGTTCTGTTTAATACTTATGAAACAATTGAGATAATATTTTTTTTTATTTTAAAGAGGGTGAAACAAAAGATAAAATAAAACAGAACAAAGCAGACCAGAAGAAGATAATATATGTGACACAAAGAACAGGAGCTCAGTAGTGGCTACCATAATGTCTCTTGTTTTCTTCTAACCAGTTGTCTATATCTTCTCACACAAATAATTCATGCAAAACAAAATAGTATAAAACTGATCAAAACAGAATAATGAAGGCATTATGAACCTTCAAAACTGGACAATAGGAAAATAAAAAAAAAATGGTTACCATAATATCTCTTGTTCTCTTCAAAATAGCTGTCCATACCTTCCTGTATGTTGAAATTAAATAATACAAAACAGACTAAAACAACTCTGAATGAAGAATAAAAACATTCCTGGATTTTACAGCATGGTGATAGGAAATCATCAATGGCTACTATAATGTCTCTTTTTCTTTAAATTAGCTGTTCATTTCATCACACAAAATAAAATCAGTTCTCACAAACTATTTAGGAAAAGTTCTAGGAATGTATAAGCCTCTACATGTACATCAAACCTTTCTGTATTAGAGGGAAATACAAAAGAAAGCAAAGAAAGTCAGCTTACTAGAAAAACAAGACACAAAACAAAAAAATAAATAACAATAGCAAAGAGCCCAAAATAGTAATTATATAGGAATTCAATACAATGTATTAGGAACATGACGAAGGTTGTTATTTTACAGTTATCTTCAAAAGAGTTCCTCAGATTAAAGGTACAAACATGCAAAATTGTTCCATTCCTATGAATGTTAACTGCTTTGTTCCTAGAACTTACAGAATTCATAGCACAGCCATCTTAACTATCATGTGTTTATACAAATTTAGATATTTTTCTTTTCTCTTACTTTTTCTTCCTTTTCCATGAGATATTACTTTTTTCCACTTTGAGCAGATTCTTACTATTTCTCTGAATTTATTGTGCATTTTGTGTCTTATGTCTTGTGTCTCTACCATTTCTTACACTAGTGAGACAATACAGTATTTACACAGGTGAATTTGATATATTTCACTTATGAGTCTCAAGTTGCATCCAATAAATATCTCAATGTGATCATGCCTTATAGCTGAGTATAGCTCCATTTTATACAGTGGAGTAGTACTTTATTGTATAAAAGTACCACATAATTTTTACTCAGTTCTCACTTGATGAGCATTTAGGTTGTTTCCAAGATCTGGCTATTACAAATTGTGCTACTATAAACATGGTACATATATATCACTGTGATATGATGTTTTCAGTTTTTCTGGGAATATGCCCAAAAGTGGAATAGCTGGATCAAATGGGACTTCCAGTCCCAGATTTTTGTGGAACCTCCAGACTGACCTCCATGGAGGTTGTACCAGTCCACACTCCCACCAACAGTGCAGAAATGTTTCTTTTTCCCCACAACCTCACCAGCATTTGCTGCTGGTAGTTTCCTTTACCTTGGTCATTCTTTCTAGAGTGAGATGGAATCTCAATGCTGTTTTAATTTGCATTTCTCTAATGACTAATGATTCTGAGCATTTTTTTCATGTATTTTTCCTTTTGTATTTCTTTATATGAGAACTATATATTCATCTCAGATGCCCATTTTTGGATTTTGTCTTTGAGTTCCAAGGGTCTGGTTTTTTCAGATTCTTTATATGTTCTAGACAGAAGTCATTGGTCTGAAGGAAAGTTGACAAAGATATTTTCAAAATTCATTGGTTTCCATTTTACTGTGCTGGAGATTACTTCTGACATGCAATGACTTCTTAATAAGATGAGATGCTAGTTATTCATTCTGGGAAGTGTTTCCAGTATAGGTTGATTTTTCTTCATGACTTCTCTAACTATCCCTGTCTTCTAGATTTCCACCTTCTTTGTCTTTCAGCAGATTTACTGTTTCTGTTTTAAAATTTGCATCTTTGATCCATTTTGACTTTAGTTTTGTACATGGTGATAAGCACAGATCCAGTTTTAGTTTTTGGTATACGGAGAGCACTAATACCAAAACCTGCTTGGCCCATGCATCTGTGTGCTTCCTGCATGACTCCCGCTGACACTGAGGAATGCCAAACCACCCTTGGACCTTGACCTTGATGCTCTGTGTTTCCTGCACAACCCCTGTCATCCCTGAGGGACTGGCACAGCTCTCAGACCTTGGCCTGTGCCTCCATGCACTTCCTGTGTGACTCTTACTGGTCTGAAAGAATGACTGCGCCAATGGCTGCCCGCTCAGTGAAGCTCCCCATCTCCTAGGCCAGGTACTTGCTCTTTGGCCCCCACTCCTCCTTCCAGAACATAAACTGCAGTGGATTAACAATGCTAAGTTTAAGGGAGACTCAGTGACCTCTCACCCAAACAGAAGACCTCAGCAGGTTCCAAACACTATGCTCCTATGTCTTTCCTGGCATTTACCCTAAAACTTCAACAACCAGTTGAAGTTACAGCTTTGCTAAGTAGAACAGGCCCAAACAGGATGAAACAGAATGAACCCACTCAGAACAAACCATGAAAGCAACATAGGATTTCAATGCAAGATAGCACCCCACAGATGCCTGGACTGATGCCGCTGCCTGCTCCGTGGCCCAGGTACACATACGCTGCCATTCCCTTCTTCCTGCATAGCCTTCAGACACCCAGACTGATGCCATTGGCCCATTCTTTGGCTCAGGACCATCTATGTTGCTGCATTGTGCTTCCCACCCACCCAGTGGATACCCAGACTCAGGACACCTGCTAGCACCTCGGGAACTCTCCCTACCTCCTGGACCTAATACTGCTGTTGATATTCATCTCCCACACTGTCTCCCAGAATCTTGGACTACAAAAGATTAACTGTGATAGCTTGAAGGGAGATTCAGTAACTTCCTTACCCAAACAGAAGATTTCCTTAGGCTGTAGTCAGTGTGGTGAGTATACCCCTAAAATAGAGGCATTCACTGGGTAAATAGTGCCAGTAGGAAAGCTCCCTCCAACTAACTGTTAGACCTTGGTGAGTCTGGCAAGAGTGTGGCCGATTCTTTCAAGCACACAGAGGACAACAAGAAGAGTAAGGTGTGTGCCAATAAGGACTTCGCCAACCTGCAGTAAATCAAAAGGGCTTATGACACACAGAGACACACAATAGGGACATAGCAGAGCCTCAGCTGGCATGAGCACTATAGACAGGGAGATTTGGTGACCTGGAATTATCTAAAGATAAAGAAACTGCAGCAACTAAAAGCTGAGCTATATCATCACTACTAGGCTTGTCATCCCTGGAAAATATAGGACTCACCCAACAGGCCCTGCAGTGGGAAGTCAGGTGACTGGCCCACCTCTTCTTCATTGTGGAATCTAGCAAAAAATCAACCTTACAGCAGGACCCCAAGATACACAATACCACATGAACCCTAGAAAGAGTATTGAAAGACATAATAGGTAGAGATAAAAAAATGACCACAATCCCCAGAACAACCACAGAAAGAAAGCACCAGTTAGGGGAAGCAATTAAACAAGGGGGGAAAGTAGAAAGAAAACAACTGGAACATAATATGGCAAAGTCAAGCCAGGACGTATCAGTTATATCCATAAATGTAAATGGCCTGAATTCACTAATCAAAAGAAATAAATTGACAGAATGGATCAAGAAACATGATCCCACAATATGCTGTATACAAGAAACACATCTGACCAAGAGGAAACTCATAGATTAAATTCAAAGGATGCAAAAGATGATTCCATACAACAGGAACCCAGAAAACAGCAAGAGTAACTATACTATTTGTAGAAAATGTGAACTTCAAACCTAAAGTGATTAAAAGAGATAAAGAAGGTCAGTACATACTCGTTAGTGGAAAGATTCAAGAGGAAGAACTAACAGCTACAAATATATTTGCACCAAATACAAGAGAACCCAACTATAAAGAAAAATGTTTCCATCTGTTGACTTTTAATCTATGAGTTTCCTTTTGAGTCAGGTGTGTTTCTTTTATACAGCATATTGTGGGATCCTGTTTTTTGGTCCATTCTGTCAACACATTTCTTTTAATAGGTGAATCGAGTCCATTTACATTGATGGATGTAACTGATATATAGTGGCTCAACTTTGTCATGTTATGTTCTTGTTGCTGCTTTTCTGCTTTTTCCCCATCTTCAATTGATTGCCCTGCCTGATAGTTTGTTTCTTTTGTTGTTCTTAAATTGTGGTCATTTTTGTCTCTGTCTAGTATGTCTTTCAGTACTCTTTTTAGGGTTCGTTTTGTGGACACAAATTTCCTCAGGTGTTTTTTCTCATGGAAGGATCTTGTTTCTCCATTAAATATGCATGAAAGTTTCTGGTTACATCAATCTCGGTTGAAAGTTATTTTTTTTTCAGAGCTTGACTCCAAGCTTGTCTTTACTTGAGGGTTTGTGCTGAAATGTCTGCCATGATTCTAATTGGCTTTCCTTGATAGGTGAGTTGTGTCTTCTCTAACAGCTTTTAGCATTCTGTTTTAATGCTGCATGTCTAGCATCTTAATTATTATATGTCTGGGTGTAGATTTATATTGGTTGTGATTGTTTGGTTTTCTATACACCTCACTTATCTATTTATCAGAATTTTCTTCATGTTGGGGAAATTGTCTTTTATTGTTTCTGTGAATAATTTACCTGAGTTATTTGTGTTTACGCCTGCATCTTCATTGATGCGTATTAGTCTTATGTGGTTTCTGTTGGCATCATTTTGAAGATGCTGAATTATCATTTTATGCTGCTCTGTTACTTTTAAAAGTTCTATCCTTTCATGATCGCTAAGTGTGATCCTATCCTCAAGGTCCAAAATTCTATCTTCATCTTCATTTAAATGATTTTGCCAGCTTTCAATAGAATTTTTTGTTCCTCGTCTTTCTCTTTTAATTTGCTTCAGGGATTCTGGTTGTTTTCTGTATTGTTCATTCAATGTTTCAATTAGTTTCCCATGATCCAATACAATTTCTTTCATCTATTTCTTGTCTAGCTACATTGAGCAACTCCTTTCCTAAGTTCTTATTTCTGTCTTTATGTGAGTAAATATTTATAATTTGATTTCCTCTGTAGCCTCATGGATTTATTTATTAGTTTTGTTATTTTTTTAGAGATTTCTGATGTATGATTTTTAAAGCCCTCTATTTCAATGTCTCCTGCACATGCACCTGCTGGAATACATTTTGCTTTCACATTTTGTCATTTTTATCTTTCAGGCTAATATTTTTTGGTTTCAATCCCACTCATCTCAACTCTCAATAATGTGTATCTTAGGGTCCTACTGTGTGCTTTATGTTTGTCCAGTTTCTGGGTGCCACAATGCAGAACAGGTGTAGTCACCTAAATTCCACCTACAGGGCCTATGGGATGAGTCCTATATTCTTCCTATGCAGACTACCCTAGAAGTATTGATGCAAGTCAGTCCTTAGTTCCTGCTGTTCCTATGTCTTCAGGTTGTGCTTGGTCACCAGATCCCTTTGTCTATAGTGTTTGTCTTATGTGAGACCCTACTATGTCAGTGAGTGTCTCATAAGCCCTTTTAATTTTCTCCAGGTTGAGGGAGGCCTTATTTGCTCACTCCTCAGCCTACCTGATGTTTTCTGTGTGGAGGAATGACTCACTCACACTCGACAAGCTCATCAAGGTCCTAGAGCTGAAGAGAACTTCACCACTGCTCCTTTTTACTCACTGAAGACTTCTGTTTTAGGGGCAAACTCACCACACTGGTGGAAGCCTGCTAATGTCTTTTTTTGAATGATAGGTTACCAAGTCTCCCATCAATCCAGCACAGTTAATCCAATTCAGTCCAAGTTTCTGGGAGAAGGAATGGAAACTAAAGATCAACAGCAATGTTAGACCCAGGAAGTGGAACAAAGGGTGGCCATGTACAGGACAGTGGGATGCAGAAGCAGCCAAACCTTGTATGCCAGTGGAGGTCCCAAGGGGTGCAAGGAATGTGTCAGGAAGGCTGAGCATGCAATGAGATGTGCCCGTCCCCACATCCTGTGGCATGAAAGATTTTTTCAATCTTTTAACTTTCAGTGTGAGTTTCTTTTTGGGCTAGATGTGCTTCTTGTATATAGCATATGGTTGGATGCTGTTTTTTGATCCATTTTGCTGGTCTGTTTCTTTTACTTGGTGAATTGAGGCTATTTACATCAATGGTTATAATTGATACATATTGGTTTATTTTTGATATGTTATCTTTCTGCTGTTGATCCTCTATCTTTCCTCTCTGTTTAATTGTTTGCCTTGCTTAGTGTTTTTTTTTTTTTTTTTTTTTTGCTATGTCTATCTAGAATGTTTGTAGTGTTCTTTGAAGGGTTATTTTGGCAGTGATGAAAATGTTCAGCTGTTCTTTGTCTTGTTTCTCCATCTGTTTTGAAGGACAATTTTGCAGGATACATCAATCTTGGTGGGAAGTTGTTTTCCTTTAGGATCTGAAATACTTGACTCCATGCTCTTTTTGACTTCACTGTTTGTGTTGAGAAGTCTGTTCTTAATCTGATAGGCTTTCCTTTATAGATGATCTGTCTCTTCTCTCTAACAGCTTTTAATATTCTTTTCTTAAGTTGGCTTTCTGGGATATTGATTATTACATGTCTGAGTGTGGTTTTATTTTGGTTATGGCTATTTGGAGTTTTATATATTTCACTTATCTTTATCTCAGGTTGCATTATCATGTTTGGGAAATTTTGAGCTACTACTTCTGTGAATAATCTCTTGATATAATTTGTGTTGACATCTTCATTTTGTTTATACTTTCAAGCTTATGTTTTTTCTTTGAATCATCTTGTAGCAGTTAAATTTTTATATCTTGATTCCTTGTTGTTTTAGAAAGATTTTCCTTTTCCTCTTCACTAGCTAAAATCTTGTCTTTTAGGTCTGAAAGTCTATCTTCATTTTCATTGAGGCTCTTTTGCCAACTTTGATGGAGATTTTGGCTTCCTGCATATCTCTTTGAATCTGTTTCATGCATTTTTTATTTCTTGTATTGTTCATTCAAGGTTCCATCTTTTTGCATTGTCTCTAATTTTAAACTATGTCTTCTCTAGACGTGTTCCACATTTTTTTCATTATATTTTTCAATTCTTCTTTTACCTGGGAGATTATTTCTGACCTGCATTCTTTTATAGCTTCCCAGAGTTGTTTCTTTACTTCAGTGACTATCATTTTAGGAGGTTCACGTGTATGCTTGCATTTTGTTCTATATCCATGTTTCCTAGGCGTGTTAGGGATGGGCGGAGGTTTGAGATTGCATTTTGCTCTATTGCCTTGTCCTTTTCTTTTATTCCTTTAGGGAAGCTGAGGCAAGGTCTCAGTTGTTTCTGGGGTTGGGAACATCTCTCCTTACTCCAGGTAGTTTCCTCAAGTTATGTGGAAGTCCTTAGACAGATCTCACCACGTGGCTCCCAGCCACTTGGGGTCACTAGGTGGGGCACAAATAGTCTTGGAGCAGCAAGTGAAGTCTGTCTCACGGGATGGAAATTGCTGCATGTAATTTTGGCTCACAAAGTGGACTGCAGGCACCTTCAGGCATCTTGGGGATCATTTGGTGGGGCCAAATTGGTCCAGGGGAGAGCCTGTGATGGAAGATGCTGGGCAAGGCCCTATCAGTCTCAGAGCAGTGTGCCAAAGCTTCCCTATGGACTAGAGGTTGCTGCACACACTTTGGCTCACAATGTGGAACACAGGTGTCTCTGGGCCATTTGGGGGGTTACTGAATGGAGCCTAAATAGGGCTGAGGGACTTTCCTGTGGGTCCTTCTGTGATGTGGGATGCGGGGTGGGGGCCTGCCAGTCTCAGAGTTGTATGCCAAGGCTTCCCTGTGGGCTGGAAATCATTGTGTACACTTTCAGCTCACAAGGGGAAGCACAGGGAGCTGAGGGCCACTCTGATCTATTTACATTGAGTTCAGAGTTTTTATTTTTGCATTTTGTTTGGATCTCATGCATTTATGGTCAGTGTATTACATGATTTATCCTTTATTATGCCATGTCTATGAGACTTTTTCTTTTGCTTTTCTTTGATCTGCATGAAGTCAATTGATATATGCTTCTCAATTATTTCACTTTCTTGAAACTGTAATATTTTTAGACTTTTCTTGTAGAGACCAATATTTTTAGTTAATTTGGAAGGAATGCTTGTCATTGATTTCAGTTTTTAAATTGATGCAGTTAAGTCATGTAACAGCTGATTGAGTATGTCAACCAGAATTAAATTGGTTCAGCATATTTCTAGGTGTGGAAGATCCACTCTGGGGAGAATTATTCCCCAGAATGCTGTGAAAAGGGAAACTAAAAAGGAAAGACTTCTTTTGTTCCCTTTGGAGAAGCTTTACTTTTCATTTTTACCTTGGGCACTATCTCCTGGTTTCTTGTGTAGCCATTTTAGCCTCCATCATAGATCCTTCAGCCTTTGGTGCAGACCTTTTTGCTTCCTGATATGGATTTACATGCAACACTGTAATGAGCTGCAGGCCTTCGCCTGGATCCTCCACAACTGCAGTTTGCAGACATACTTTTCCCACTCTGTGTGAATAGTCACTGCAGGTTAATTTTGTAAATTCTTATATGTTTTATATCTTCTGTTCATTTCTCTAGTAAGGATAACTAATACAGGTCAAATACAGTCAATGTAATTGATACATGAAGGCTTCTGTCTGCCTTTTTGTTGTATTCTAAAAATTCTATTTTTCATTTTTGTGTTCCTCATGTTACAGCTGTCATGTTACTTAAACATATTTAGAAATCTATGTGCTCTATTTATTGTGTTTTAAAATATATTTCTTTGTACAGATGCAAACATTTTAGTGCCTGCTCTATGTTTTGAACTGTGAGTTACTGTAGTGTTTGGGCATTGAGTAAACTAAAACTAAGCCATCTGCCTTATTGCAAGGAATTTGAGTTGACATCTGCATACTTTTAAGTAAATATATAAACGTTTCCCTGAAGTCTCCCTCTGTCTCTGCATCTCTCTCTCTCTGTCTCTCTCTCTGTCTCTCTCTCTGTCTCTCTCTCTGTCTCTCTCTCTCTCTCTCTCTCATAATAGAGGTGTTGTAAAAACTTTTGTAGACTCTGAAATACAGAGTAGAATGCTATATCTTTTGTTCCAAACCAAACCTCATTTTGAAAGCTCACTTGGTGAAAGAAGGTCTATTTATTCTCTGATGTCACACTCATTCTGTTTCTCTTCCTTCTTTGCTGATGCTCTACATTTTCTTTTCCTTGAAAAACTACAATCAGCAACCTTTTTTTTCTGATAGTCTGATAAATGCAAGTTAATTTTCTTCCCTTTGTCTGAGATTGTCTTTTTAACATTTTCATTCCAGAAATACAGTTTCTTTCAACATAGGATTCTTACTTGATAGTTTGTTAACACTCGGGAAATGTGTTATCTTTCTCAATTCTATGATTTCCATTGAACAATTAGTTGACATTGGAAGTACTGCTTCTGTATAATGACCTGTTTATTTTATTAATTCATGTCAATCATTTTTCTTTCACTTTCATTTGTAGTTTATTTGTTATATGGTTTTTGTATGTAGGTGATTTAATAAATTCTATGTGATGCTACTATTGATGTTTTGCCTCTTGACAAATTCAGAAAATTGGTAACTATTATTTTTGTGAGTGTTTGTCAAGCTCACCATGTTTTTTTCTCTATTACTATAGCTTCAATATTATGAAAGTCAAATTTTCACATGTATGAGAAATTTTATGTATTTATATAACTAAATGTATATAGATAGATAGATAGATAGATAGATAGATAGATAGATAGATATAGTTATATTTGTCCTTTGGTTTTTCAGAATAACAAATTTTGATTGATATACCTTTAAATTCTTTGTTCCTTTCTTCTTATTTTTTTGTATCAAAACCAACTGGTTTTTATTTAAATTTTGTATCTTTAGTTTTGAAGACATAGTCCAGTTCAGTTCCTTCTTGATGAAGCATTCTTCCTGTAATGTTTCATGTGATGACAAGTGACATTTTTCACTCAAGTCCTCTATATGAATTACTATCAGCTGTGGAAAATTTCCTGATATAAAGTCATTCCCTTTCGTACAAGTTCCTAACTAATGCCTAATCAAAGAATTAGTTTCAGGCATAGCATTGTTCCTTCAGTTTAGGACAGTTCTGAAGGGCCATTACAGACCTCAAGCTCCACGTTGTCAGGAAAAAGAAATAAGTTGATCAGAAAAAAGTATTGAAATCTTCATTTCACCACAGGTAGAGGATTCACCTTCATATATTCAGCACTTATTTTAGTGTACATTTCCCTCTATTGGCTGTAATATATGAGCCATCACCAATGTATTGATATCTGGAGGGGTCTTATAAAGCATTTGATCCATTCAAATGGAATCTTGATCCACATTGCTTCATACAAGGGGCTCCAGTTTATTGGAAAGTAAAATTGCAGGAATTATATGACCATGATATGAAAGTCTTCCCAATGTCTTCCACAGTATCAGATGTCAAAAGACAGTTGTAGAAGGTTTGGAAATAGCACCAACTTGTAAATGAATACCTACATTGATGGAGTCTGTACTCCAGAACTTGGTGAATGTCTTAGTTACTTTTCACTCTTCTCTGAGACAGAATAACTGATGCCCAAAGTTTGGAAAGAAATGGTTTATTTCATATGGTTTTCGGAGGTTTCAAACCATCTTAGGTTGGCTCCAAGGCAGGGTGTCATGGTGAGGCCACATTTCATGGCAGCTGAAAATAGCATTGCAGAAACTTCCAAGAGAGACATTCTTTCTTCCAGCCCTTACACTGTATGCTGTCTCTGCCTCTAGGCGAGTGTAGCACTGACACTGTCAATCGAAGTACTAGACAATGATCCAATCACAAATGCACAATACAAACTTGTGAGGCCGGGGGCCCAATGTAAACCATACATTTCACCCCTGATCCCCAAAGAATCATGTCCTTTCTTTATACAGATACATTTAGTCCAATTCCAAGAGTTTCCAAAGTTCTAACATTTGCAGCATTGCTGAGAAGTCCAAGTCCCAAGTCTCCAATATCTATGGCAAACTCTTAACTGTAAACCCCTGTACAAATGAAACAAGGTTAAACATTTCTGAAATGCAAAGGCACAAAGTAAACATTACCATTCCAAAAGTTACAGATGAGAATATAAAGCATTGGGGACAATGCAAGTCCAACATCCAGCAGGGTGAAAGAGAGTTCCATGCTTCCCATTTGAAGCAATCTGGTTGCAAGCTCCAAAAAGCTTGCGTGATTCCACCCCCCACAGCACTTCCAAAGATTTCAACTCCTACCACTTCTCTCTTAACCGTTTCTGTTCCCTTTTTGCAGCTCTTCTTGGATGATCCATGTTCCTGGATTTTCCAAACTTTTGGGGTCTCCATTACACCTTTGGCTTCACCTTTACATCTTTACAAATTTCCCTCTCAGAGGAACACTGCTTGGCCTCCCAGGCCCTTTGCAATGGAGGAGGAAGCCATCTTACCCTCAGAATTTGTGCATTTTCCATGTACCTAAAATCAGCACCATGTGGGTGTCACCCAGTTTTGCTGCCAGCTGGAGCAGTCACCAGGCTTTTCTCTTGGCTGTAGGGGTCCAGTGTCTGGATCACTGGGCTCTGTTTTCCTGATTGTGATGAAAAGTTTTTCTATGTTGCCACCATTCTGGAACCTCATGTGACCTCTGTCACCATTTTGAAGCATGGTGCTCTGAAGCTTTCTCCTGTGAGCACGCTGTTTCACTTTTGCCCTTTTGAGGCTGTAAAGGATGGAGACCCCCTACTTCTTGGGATGACCCTGGCCATCTTCCTTACTTCTTTGTTCCCTTTCAGCAATCAAAGTCTCAGCTCTATCACTTTAATCCACAGCTTTACTGAAGCTTTATTCTGGTCAAACTCACTGTGTTTTAAGTTATTCTGCTGGGATCTTTGCTCTTGATTTGCTACATATATCTGGCTAAAACTCCCCAACCATAGCCATGCCACAGCCTCAACATTGCCCTTAGTCTTAGTCTCAGGCAAAGTCTCTGGGTGTGAAAAAAAATGCAGACAAACTTTCTGCTAAGCTGGAATACACATGGTTCAGAGTTCAACAGCCAGTGCAATCATTCTTCCCAAGAGAAAGCTACTAAACCTGGTCTTTAACTTCAGGCTTTCTGTCAGCCTTCTGGTCTCCTGAGCTCTGATTGGAATCTCCTCTACAGAACAGGGCTGTTACATCCAGCTGTATACATCCAGGTAACATGTCCAAACCTTTCCAAACTGCCCACAAACCATTTCCAAAGCCTCTTGAAAAACATGTTCAAGGTATAGTCACAGCCACGACCACACTCTTGGTACCAAATTATGTCTTAGTTACTTTTTACTCACCACTGAGACAAAATATCTGATGCCCAAAGTTGGGAAAGGAACGGTTTATTTCCCAAACTTTTTAGAGGTTTCAGTCAGTATTCAGTTGGCTCCAAGACAGAGTGGCATGGAGTTTCTCCAATTCATGGTGGCTGCAAACAGCAAGGCAGAATCTAATGAGAGAGAAGGAGAGAGAGACAAGTCTTCTTACAGTCATTACATTGCATGCTGGCTCCACTCTTAGATGATTGTAGCACTGACACCATCAATGCAACACTAAACAATGAACCAGTAACTGTGCATCTGTGACAAATGCACAGTGCAAATGCATAAGGCCTGAGGGCAATCAACATAAACAATGACAGTGAATATGAGATAAATCATTAAAATGATGTAGTAATATATTACCAACAATAAAGAACAATAAAGTGGGGCTGAGAATTCTGTTCAGAAACTGGGTCTTCTCTATCTTTATTCTATCTTTCTAAATTCATTAATTAATAAATAGACCAAATTTATTTAAAGTTCCTCCGATTAAAAACACCCCTCTTTTGACTAAGGTGACTAATCCCTGTCCCACACAGCCAACATTCAGACCAAATAAGAATGTATTCAAACTTTTTCTCAACTCCAGAAAGCAGTCCCTATTTAATGTGCAGCAACCCTACCCCAAGTATTGACATTCCAAACTCTGTGTCACATGTCCTCTTCCTGTAAATAAAGCTTGTTTGCCATATTCTGGGCATCTGCTTACGAATCTTTGAATGTGCTGCAATATATTGGAGGCAACAGTGAGTCTTGATGGATGGCTCCCTACTGGGGAGCTGGTGGCCTCCAAACCTGGAAACTATTACTATGGAAACAAAGCTACCATGGCTGAGTTCAAGCAGTTCCCTGGGTAACACGGAAAATGTGGAAGGACTCATAGTCCTGTAATAAGAGAAACAAGACAGTTCCCACTAAGTTAGGTCAGGTTTGATTTCATTTGGTTTCATTCAGGGACTTTTTATTTCTCCAACTCTAAAACACCTAGACTTTGGGCTCTGATTCCTGAATGTGGGAATCAAATTTTGATTCAGAGCCTGAAATTAGGAGACTGCAGTTCCTTCTGTTGGGCTGGATTATACTACCTGGGTTTTGTGTGTCTTTATCTGTGCAATCTTGTGTTCCCCATGTATCCATAGTTTCATGTCTCAGTTGAGTGTATCATTTATTGTATTGTATTGTGAGCACTGGTCCCTTCCTGGGCCTGCCTAAAATTCTTCATCTGTACTTCTGGAGAACCTGAAAAACAACTGGCTAAAACCACCCAGTGCCCTGGCTCAGAGCTAGAGCCATGCGATTTCGATACTCTTCAGCTTGTGTTTTCAGGCTATTTGAAAATAAAACATTCTAAATCTTGTATTTCTAAATACCAACAGGTTGTTGTTGTTTCCCCCATGGTAGTTGACATGATCTCAAATAATCAAAATTACCGTGTTCCTGGACATCAGGTGCTTGATTTAAAAATTAAAACAGTGCATTAAATAGTTAAACTCACATCATTTACCATAGATTCATCTGTGGTCCTGGTCCATATCTTCATGTCAATAGTGCTTCCTTTTTATAATCACTGTTAATTGTAAGGAAAATATTGATTATGATGCTTCTTCACAACTAGAATTTTATTTTAAAAATGGTCAAAGTTGCCTTATGTTCAGCCTTTCTTTGCAATAAATGCTTACTTGTGTTTAAGTTTAACTATGTGTTACAGAAAACCCATATACCTCTGGTTCTTAAGGCATTCACTCTCACTTAGCCTGAAGATACTCTTCCTCAATTTTTAGAATCCGAAGAGAGATTTCCAAGAAAACTTTAATCCAAACCTCATCCACTATTACTGAATCTGAGGCTTCTCATACTTGCTCTTCACACTTTCATGGTGAAGATTCTAGGCCAGCCATAATTGAAGCCCCCACAAGGATGTATCCACCAGCTGATTTTTTCAAGCTTCTCAAAGTAAATATCCACTATTGAAAGTAAATGGTGAATCTAGAACTACCCATGACTTTTGTCTCTGTGTCCTAAAACAAATCAGAAAAGATCTAGAAAAAATTTCAGCTTTTCCTCTTTAAGTCTTTAGAGGACTTGCTCAGACCTATAATGTAGTTTAGAGGTGTAATATGTTACACTACATGTGTTCAGAGTGAGTTTAGAGAAAGCCTAGCCAGCATTGCCATAAAAGGTGACTGGATAGAGAAACCAAAGTGTTTCAAATATTTATTTACCCTAGAGCTGATATTTCTTCTGGACTATTACCTGACTCTGTCTGTTCTTCAAGGCAATAGATTTTTTTTTTTTTATTTAAGGAGAGACAAAAAACAAAGAAATAAAATAAAAAAAAAAAAAAATTAGTAAAAGTGTACTAATAATACATAATTTCAAGGAAAAAATAAAGTAATATATCACTAGTTAATAGGTTACATATTGTCATCTATGAAACATTTTTCCAAATTATAAAATTAAAGTGAACATTCATACAATGAGATTGCAGACAGTGCTGATCAATGATCCAACAAAAGTTCAGGAATATGGATTTCCATCCCACACACTCAAACATACATGCAGTTATATCTCTTAGACCACCTTCCTTTCCTCTCTTTTTAATAACAATTATACTTTTGGGGTCTTTTTACTCCCACAATTCTTGTTATTTTTGGGGGGAGAATAAAACCTAACGTGGCTAAACAAAACAGTCGGTTAGGAAAAAAAAAAGGATAGGCATAGTACAGTTTGTAGAAAAATAGAATATCAGGTTATCTAAAATGATTACCATCGTGCCTGTTGCTATTTTTTAAAAAAAGTTGCCTATATCGTCAGGTATAATAGAATTGATCAAAAAAGTACAGAACAAGACCAATAAAGCCTACACTGGAGATCTTACAGGATTTCCAAAGAAGATAATAATCAAACCAAAATGGGCATCTTAGTGAATCATATTGCCTTCAAAGTGGTTGCCTATACCCTGAAACTTGATCTTGTTTAAGGCTGATACTTTAGAAAGTTTGACTCAGAGTTATTTATGAACATTTAAGACTAAGGATAGAACTGGAACTCTTTCATTTTATCTCACTTTTTCAAAATATTAAAAAAATATTCAGGTTCTTTGATTATTGGTTCGATTTTCTGTTTGACAATGCAGCTGGAGTCAATCATAATTTCTGTTCCTATAGCTATGTTTTGCTAAGGATTATAGATGAGCCTGAGAAAGCTCTGCATCTGATTTGTCTTTCTATACCTGAGATAGTTAAGATTAATTCCTCTGTCATAGTTGGAGTCATTCTTCTGTCCCTTTCCATTGGTCCACCACTGAGAAATAAGAGTATGCAACAGTATTTAATCCTAGATAATGCTCTTTCCTATCCCTGCTTAATTTAAGGATAAATATCACAAATAATACGATTCTCCTTCCTTGGACCCTAACAGAATGAAGTGGATTTTCACTTGTATCTAGGTTTTATTGAAGAATTCTTTATATATTCTAGATATTAGTTCCTAGTCTGAGGAAGTGTTGGCAATAAATTTTTCCCATTCTATGGGCAGTTTATTCACACTTTTGCTTGTTTCCATTCTGTGCAGAAGCTTTTTAGTTTGATACAATGTCATTTGTTGATGCTTGACATTATTTCCTGTTTAATTGGGGGTCAGTTCAAAAAGTCTTGACCTACACTGATATCATCAAGAGTTTTAGTATTTTGTTTTCATGTAGTTTAAGTGTTTCTGTTTCAACATTAGATAACAAATATGTTTATGTTAGTTTAGTATATGAGAAGAACTAAGGTGTAGTTTCAATCTCCTTCATATTAATAACCACTTTTCCCAGCATAATGTCTTAAATTGTATATTTTCCAGTATATGTTTTTGACCACTAATGTCAAAGATGAGATTACTGAGTGTGCCTGGAGTTGATTTTGCATTTGTTCTGTGGAACCAAGTGAGTTCTTTTGTTTGTTTGTTTGTTTTTTGCCAACATTATGTTTGTTTGTTTATTTCTTTTTTTAATCACTGTAGCACTGTAATGTAACTTAACATTTGGGATTATGATGCTTCCTACTTTGCTCCTGTAGCCTGATATGCTTTTGTTCTTTAGGGTCTCCTTTGCTTCCATGTGCATTTTAGAATTGTGTGTTGTTGGGGCTGGGGATTTAGCTCAGCGGCATAAGCTCCTGCCTTGCAAGCAGGCGGTCGTGAGTTCGATCCCTGGTACCGATAAAAAACCGAAAAAGCAAAAAAAAAAAAAAAAAAAAAAAAAAAAAGAATTGTGTGTTGTTGTTTTCTAACACATGGTGATGAATTTTGATTGGAATTATGCTAATTGTATGTATCAATTTTGAAAGTATGGTCCTTTTTATATTACTGGTTCTGTTTGTCCAGAATAGGGAATTTGTTTCCATTTTCTTTTTTTTTTGTTTGTTTTAAAATGGGTAAAACAGGATAAAACCAATCAAAACAAATAAATGTAAGAGATACAGGACTGCAAAACATTACAGTATTAATAGTTACCATAATGCTCTGTGACATCTTCAAAAAAGCTGCGGAGAAATTTGGACATAGTAAAAATCAAACAGAACAGAATAGAATAAAAGCAATAAAAAAAGACAATGAATGCAATAAAGTATTTTAAAACAAGCCAATAGAAAATCCAAAGTAGCTACCATAGTATATCTTGTTATCTTTGAAATAGCTGCTCTTCACATCAGATGTAACATAATGAAACAAAAGAGAGTAAAACCCAACCCATAAAAACAATGGAAAGGATATAGCACTTCAGAATAAGACCATAGAGAATCAACAATGGCTACAACCCTCAGAAAGAAATTGCTGCTAGATGCCACATGGCATATTGCTATCATTTGAACCTATGGTTAGAACACTGGCCCTAGACCTGCAATATTAGGGCAACATCAAAGCACCACATGTATCCAATTGAATTTCACCGTGATAGCTATCATCACAGGATATGTTTCTCTGGATAAGCTAGTCGCTTTTGGGGGTGTGTGTAGGAAGATTTTTACTTTCTGTTTGCCAGCCTGTGTGTCAGAAGTAGCCTAGGTCTGTCATTTCTGATTCTGGCAGCAGCCTGCACATGGTACTGGTTCCCAGGCAGGCTTGCTTGCTGGTGTGGACTTGTTCAGTCTATCTCTAGTCCATGAATGGTGCTGACTCACAGGGAGAGACTGGGGTATGTCTGTTCCCAGTCTAGGATTCAGTCTAGGCATGGTGCTGATTCCCACACTGGGCTTCCTTGCTGATGTGGCCTTGTTATCTCTACCCTCCAGTCCACAAATGGCTTGCTTCCATTTTCTTGTGCCCTCTTTTATCTTTTTATCTCCCCAGAATATGTTAATTTTCATTGTAGGCATAGTTCACATCCTTGGTTCTTTTAAATGCCAACTATTTACTGTTTTCTTTTAAATAATATGCATGGTTTTTTTTTCGTAACTTTTTCTCATAAATTCTTTATTGGTATACACAAAATGCTAGTCATTTTTCTTTTTTTTTGATTTTTTTTTATCCTGCTACATTGGTGAATTGGTTTATTCATTCTTGCAGTCTTTTGGTAGATCTTTGGGTATTTCTATGTAGAGGATCAATCACCTGTAAATAATGATTATTTGATAAGTTGTATTCCTAGATACATATAGTTTATTTATTTTTCTTGCTTGATTGCTATGGTTAATGTTTCAAGGATTATGTTGAATAGAGTGGTATCACTGGCTATTCTTGTCTTGTTCTTGATTTTAGAAGGGAAGTTTTTAGTTTGTTGCTGCTTAATATTATATTAGCAGTAGGCTTATCATAAATGTCTATTGTCAGGTAGAGATAAAGTTTTTCTATGTCCTGTATTCTTTCAGTTTTTTAAATCAAAATTGGTGCTTGATTTACAAATGAATTTTCTGATTCAGTAGATTTGATCATGTCATCTTTGTCATTTTTATGCTTATATTCATTGATTTGTGTGTTTTAATTCATCCTTGTGTCATTGGAGTGAAGTTGACTTCATCATCATGTGTGATCATTTTGTCTTTAAATTACCGGGTACCTTATTAATCTGACTTATTAGCTCTCTTTTTTCATCTCAAGTAATTCTCAGTGGATTTCTATTTTTTTCACTCCAAATATTTCATCAGTTAACCATGGGGGAGTTGGAAACTTTTGGAGACATTTCTTTGTCTTATATTCTCATATTTTATTATTTATGTGTTTGTTTCTTTCTGTGATGAGGCTCTCGGGTTTATTAGTTTGGAAGATTTTGTTGTGAGTTTGCAATCTCTTCAGTGTCTGGCTTTCAGAGATGAATTCTGGGTATAGCAACTACAGGCCTGTGTTTTTGCCTCAGAGTCCTCATATCTTTATTGATTTAGGAGTGAAGACCAGAATTTTTTGTCTCATTACCTAGTTCACAAAGAATTGACCACTATATTGTTAATGATATTTTGGCATTACATACATTGGCATACGGAGAAAACAATTGATACCAATATGTCATCTTGGCTATAAGAAGAAAATCATCAACTACATAATAACATTAGAGTCAAACTGCGTATTGACATACCCTGATAGTCAATGGTA